CACACCCACACAGATCGATCTCTCTCTCTCTCTCTCACACACACACACACACACACACACACACACACACACACACACACACACAGAGACACCTCTCTCTCTCTCACACACACATACACACAAACCCCATTAACAAAAAAAAAAAAAACCGAGAGGGAATAGAGAACTTGTCCTTCCCTAACCTCCTCTTATCCTCCACTCTCTATCCTCAGATCCCTTCTCTTGCCTACTGAAGAACAAAAAAAGGTCACAGCTGTTGCTCCAGTCCTCAAATGCATTATACTGCACATACCAGTGCACTGAAATAGCCAGTGAATAGGATGTTGCATTCGTGCAAAGACCCAGCACATCATTGGTACAGCTGGGTTAACATTGATTGGATGGTGAGAGAAAAGTCATATACCCCACGAATAGCAGCAGTAATCCATTAGGGGTCCCAATACCTGCATCATGCACTCCTCCTGCAAAGTCTGCACTGCCGGAACTCTTCAAGGGAGGCGGACACCATCTTATGCAGACACTCACAGTAGCAAAATGGTAGCAGTTTCCCTTTCCTGGAATGTGAATTTCAGCTCCACTCAAGCAGTAAATCATCAGCTTCCCCTTGAAGAGATACTTAGATGGAAGTTAGTGCCAGTAAAAACTACAGTGGAGCCAGCTACAGTAATAATCACAATGAAATGGCTAGGTGGATAGAAGACAATTCAGTGAAGTGAGAAGAAGGAGCAGTACTGAAGGATTTCATAAAGAAGCTGGAATGTGATTCTAGACCATTTCCCTCATTTTTAATCAATTTCCGGGCTCTGTCTGTGTTACAACTTGGATAAACTGGCATGGATTAAGTGACTGAAAAAAGTACACATAAATAAAAAAAATAAAAAATAGAGATATAACAGAGAGCCAGACAGACAGACGATGGATAGATGGAATCATCTCCTCAGCAGTGAAGCTCCCATCCCCCTCAACCTCCACTTGCAAGGCAGGAAACCTAGCCGACCCTAAAGGCATAATTAAATAACACCACTACAGGAACTGCATCTGCATCCAGAAGATCATTTCTACTACAGAGCAAGGTCACTGCTTCAAATGTATTTAAAACAAACAAGACAAAAACAGACTGATCCATCACCGGGCAGAGCATTTCAGTGTAAACACACAACTTTCTGAGATTAATGCTAATGCAGTCAGGACAGCAATGTTTAGCATATTGCTGAAGAAGGACATGCAAAACCATTGCAGAATGCTATAATAGAATAAGCTACTTTGACATTCAGGATTTGCAAAATATTCATGTCCCCACAAAACTAAAAATTTCAAGCAGAGACACTCTTAATGGGGAAAATGTTCAAGTACGTATATAAAGGTAAGCCTGCTTGTCCGTCATATATTTTTCATTATTTTTGTCTAGAATAATTTGCTAATTGGAAAAGCATTTAAGTGTTTAAACACAGGATGGTTCATAGTCAATCTGCTCATATTTGACCTTAGAGCAGGCAAGAGAGCCAAATTATTGTGGAGTTACACCCATTTACACCAGGGAGACTCTATTGCACATTGCTCAGTTTGTGACATCACAATCTTGATTCCTCTCCAGGGCAGAATATTGTGATATAATGAATTCAGATTTATTGTATCACCATGAAATAAATCAGAAGACACTGCTGTTGTTTAATGGCATAAACTCTGACTGTTACAAAGGTAATAACAAGAGGGATGACAGAATGATATTGGCTATATATTTGGATTTTGAATACTTTTCTTTTCTTTTTTTTTGCATAATTGATTAACTGTGAAATCCCCTCCTTTAAAATACATGACATTTTGCTCAAAAATGTACCGTGTCCAAACTTAAAATGTTCATTCTGCTTTAAAATATTCTACTAGTGTGACCCAGTGTATTTTATATAGTTATAATGGTTGAAGGAGAGGGGAATATTGCAGAACTGGTGCTCTCTCTGAAAGTGGAATGAACATCCTGAGTGTGAATAATGTAAGAAGATGGAAGCGAATTAGTTAGCCATAATTAGGGAGTTTGGTTTACACTGAAGATAACATTAATGGCTCATTGTTTGAGGCTGTTTATAGTGTTCTTTTTCTGGCTATTGTTATAAAAAATCGGTTTCCTGAACTGTGATATGGGAACCATTGGCTGCTCGTAGGATACTGACTGTGGGTTTGGGAGCTCTCTCATCATATGGTGTATGCTCTTCACTGGAAATGAGACATGTCAAAGCATGAAACAACCAGAAGAGGAATCCTAACTATCTCAGTAGGAGTAGGAGAAGAAACAGGTGCTGCTCTCAAAGGTTGGTCTCACCAGTGGGACTAGCACTGCCAAATCCCTATCAGAATAAAATATTCAGGGAAGCAGAAGAAGAGTACCACATGGCTGAAAGTCCCTGGGGAAAAATAGGAGAAGGAAATGTAGGAAGAAAAGCCAGAAAAAGTTATGCAAATCGTGAATCACAATTTGCGTATCTTTTTCCGCTTTGCACTGAAATTGATGTAGTACTGCCAGCATTACATTAGTGTGACAGAGGAGAGACCCTTAGCGTGAAACGTAAGCATATGTGCTCGCACACAAGTGACTCAGGGTAGCTCTCAGAAGGTACACAGCCCCCTTGGTGTCCCTGCTAAAATTTTAATTGCTAATGGGGTGCCTCCTTCTATCCACTACCTGTTCCTCTTGGTGGCCCTACCTGTACCTCTTGGTGGCCATCCCTGAACCTCCTCTCTCCACAGGCACCAGTAACCTATGTGCGTAGATATATGGATTAGATATAAAAGAGACTGGAACACTGATGAGGTAGTCCAGTATTGTAAGTTTCAGAAAGATAGACATATATTGTGCTACAAACACTTTTTATTGGAATTTAGACACAGAACCTACTCCAAACACGGAGACCAGTGCATAGAGCAACACTGCCAGCCTCAGAAAAGACTTTCTGTTTCACCTTCTCAGGAGGAAGTTTGATGCCAGGAGATATCAGCTAATCCTAGTGGCTAATAAAGTACAAAAAGCTTCTCAGAATAAATGTTTAGATATTCCATTCTGAATGGCAATGCTTCTTTTATGATTTAACCACGTAGTTGACACTATGTGCAAAATTTCATTCTTTTTTACCAGTTCACCCAACTTGCCCATGTATGCCCAGACTTAAACAGCAGGCAAAAACTATTTCAGAAGTATAATCCAGTCTCCACTGTCGTAGCAGTAAATTTCAGTATAATACACATGGAGACAACATTTCAAGTGAGCTGTTTTGTGATTAGTAAAGTACAGTTATCTTATGTGAAGATGGGGCCATCTTGCTATGGGGTTTTTACAGAGCTATCAGGACTTAGAGAAAAGCTCTCCCCCCCCACACACACACAATTCAGCAAGGACCTTATGTGATATCTCTCCTCACTTAAAAATTAGCTATATGTTTATGTAAGAGGATGGAAGGGGCAGGATATTGACACAGATGGGCATCTATTAACATCAGTTAGGGCACCACAGTATATTCCTTCTGAGCTTTCTGAAATTTGTTTAGTTCAAATCCCTGCAGAGAGAGTCTTTGCCCAAGAACCATAGGAGAGAGGTAGCCCCGAAGGAAGTGGGTCACAGGAGACTAGGCTATGTTTAGACTATGTAGAATTTTTGGAAGAGGATATGAAAATTCCACAGGAATTTGCATATCTTCTTCCAATCTCACTTTCAAAAGAGTATCTTTGGAAAGTGAAAGTTGTCTGGACACTTTTTTTGGGAAAAAACTCTTTTAAAAAAAACCCAAAAAACCTCGTTCTTCCTAAAAAAGGAGGTTTTTCGAAAAAGAGGTTTTTTTCAAAAAAAAAAACCCCGTGGCCAGACTACTTTAACTTTCGAAAGACCTGCTTTCGAAAAAAAAATTTAGTTTAGACGTGCGGATATGCGAGGGAGAAAAGCAAGCAAATCCTCACTTCCTCAGCAGGTGGATTCTCTACCATACCTGCCTGCAGCAGTGCAGTAGAAAGCCTGTGAACTTCATACTTTTGTGCACAATTAGCATAAAATATGCACAAATGCTGCATACATTTGGCAGAATCAACTCCATTCCACAAATGTTCCAATCTCTCTGTATTGGTACCACTATGCACCATTCTTACAACACACTCCCCTTCTTCAGTTCCTCAAATCCCCTTCACTCCTCAACACAGGGATACATACTCCCACAAATTCATTATTTCCTCCCCTGCAGTCACTCCCAGGTAATAGCAACCTTCTCGGCAATCTTCCACATGATTTCTCATGGCTCTTCTCTCCCCACCCGGAAGGCCTTCTCCTCAACTATTCCCCTAGTTTCCCCTTCTGCTGGTGCTGCTGCAGTTTAGGTTTTTGCACTACTTCCTTACCACTCCTTTCTCTGCACTCCACCCTCATCTTCATTTGTTCTGGGTCTAAATCTCATAGAAGAAAAGAAAAGGAGCCAAGAGGCCAGAAAGAGGAAAGTCATAGAGATCTCTCTGCAGGAACTAGATCATGCTGAAAAGCACAGGTTACTGGATTTGCAGGGTTCCATTCATAAATGGCTCCTTATCCCATAACTCCCCCAAAATGGCATAATTTCCCTCCTAGTACCCAAGTAAATCACAGCTGTCTTATGTGAACACAAGCCCAAATTACTATAGGGTATTTAAAGAGCTATTAACTACTATCACTGCCAAAGAACACCCCCCCACACACACACACACACATTAGTAAGGACCTTATGTGACAGCTCTCCCTACTTAAAAATTAGCTATGTTTTCATATAAGTGGATGGAGGGGTAGGGTGTTGACATGGATGGCTCCAGGAAACAATTTTGATACATACGGCAAGGGGGAAAAATCCCAGCTAAAACACATTTTAGTAATGTTCAGCTATAATCTTTTTTAGCTTTGGCAGGCAATTTCCCTTTTAGAACATTTTAGCTCAACCCTCTTAAGTCTTCAGAGGCAGCACTGACAAGCAAAAGTCTAATTACCATGTTTAGTTTTGCTATTTTTATCATGCCCTGAAATCCTTATAATCATTTCACTGTGAAAAGAAGTTTTTTGTTTTGTGTAAAGATGTTTCTTTGCTAATATCCTTGCCAGCATAATACTGTAACAGAGATGCCTTTGATTGTTTGCTTGTGTTAAAATTACCAGTCCTGTTTTCCTTTGAAAGCCCTTCCTGTGGGTTTACTTTTACACTGTCTAGTGGAGGAGCTTATTTTTCTGCTTGTTTACTCACGCAAGAAATAAAATGCTTTGTCTCACCGGCTTCACTCCTTTGTCTTTCTTTATGCTGTATCAAAAAATTCAGTAAAACCTATTGAGTAATAATCCTATAACAAGCATAAAGACATGAAAGTGGAATATAGCACATTGACAAACCACTGGGGCTGAACACATAAAACTTAGGTTTCAGCAAAAAAGGAACTCTCTTTTGAGTCAATTTTTTTTTCACCTGAAGCGTATGTATAAAAACAAAACTCTTGTATCGCAGAATGGTGGCAGAAAAATTACTATATACATGCTTAGCTTTCCTGAACCATGTAACGTGCTTATGTTCTGAATCTGGCTCCAATAAGCAACATTACTAGTCTTACAAAAGGGAGACCTTGACAAATACAGAAACTAGCACTTACGGTAGAGAGAAAAAAATATAAAAGACTTTTTTAAAAACTTCCTTACAGATGTGAAAAAAAATCAGATATTTGTACATTACATTGTGTCATACACCAAAGGGCAGTGCAATTACAGCAGGTAAAATATTTGAAAATTGGCATTTTCTTCATGTCTGGGGGAGGGGGGAGACATGAGCAGAAGAATACTTTGTACAAAATGAGAGGGACAGATCATAGAACAAAATAATAGAAATAATAAGTACTATGGTAGGCTTTAAATTCTCCACTGTAAAAGCAAAAGACCAAGGGCCAAATCACATAATCAGGCATAAATTGGTCCATTGCAACAGAAAAAATTGCTAAAATGAGAGAGGCATTTTACAATAGTAGGATGCCTCTGATTTTATGGGTCTTCCTAGTCCACCCAGTTCACTCACCTGACTATAGTCCCTTTTTTCAGTGAATGTTTTATTCTTGGTTCCCTTGCTGAGCATTTTTGATTGATATGCAGCGATGCCTTGTTCTCATTACCACCTCCTCTCTCTGCATGCTTCCTGGCATTTCTGTCTCAGACCAATTCAGTTTTCCCTTTTATTCGTTGCTATTAAATAACTGCATCTGATCCTAGAATGAAAGGTAGATACAGTCGCTACCAGTGCCATTTGGAATAGCAGTAATAAAACTCTCACAGAGAGTTTCAGATTTAAAAAGCCACTGGCTGTTATATTTTAAAAACCTCATAAAATGTAAGGTTATCTGGCACCTCTTAATCTGTGTGATAATGGTTTACATCAGAGTTAAGACACCAAAGTCCATACCCATTGTGGAAGGAGCCACAACCTCCTTTTCCCTCAACCAAACCTTCAAACAAAACCTTGTGAGGTTATCTGAATAGTTGAAGTCCCTCATGACCACCAAATCTTGCACTTTGGATGATTGTGTTAGTTGTTTAAAAAAAGCCTCATCCACCTCTTCCACCTGGGTGGCCTGTAGTAGACTCCTAGCATGACATCATCCTTGTTTTTTATCCCTTTTAGTCTAACCCAGAGACACTCAACATTTCCATCTCCTACATCCATCTCCACCTCAGTCCAAGTGTGTACATTTATACAAGGCAACACCTCCTCCTGTTTTTCCCCACCTGTCCTTCCTGAGGAAGCTGTACCCTTCTATACCAATATTCCAAGCATGTGTATTAAACCACCAAGTCTCTGTGATGTCAGCGATGTCATAGTTGTATTTATTTATTTGCACTTCCAGTTCTTCCTGCTTATTATCCATACTTCTTGCATTTGTATATAGGCATCTAAGATAATGATTTGATCTTGCCTCCCAGTTCTGCCTTGTCCCTCCTTTCTCTTTGCTATTATAGCCCACACTCCCTCCCATTTCCGACGCATCTCCTAAATCTCCATGTTCTTCACTTACCTGTGGGCTTTGGTCACCTGTCCCTATTGAACCTAGTTTAAAGCCCTCCTCCCGTGATTAGCCAGTCTGTATCCAAATAAATCTTCCCCTTCCTCAAAAGGTGAATGCCATCCCTGCTTAGTAGTCCTTCCTGGAATAGCATCCCATGGTTGAGGAAGCAAAAGCCCTCCTGGTGACACCATCTTCGCAGCCAGGCAAAGCAGACGGGGCTGCAGACAGGAGAGTTGAAGAGGGAGTTTGACAGAATGAGTCCTAATATGATCAGGAAGACCTGCAACACCTGTGCCAACACTACAGGCAGTCCCCGGGTTACGTACAAGATAGGGACTGTAGGTTTGTTCTTAAGTTGAATCAGTATGTAAGTCGGAACTGGCGTCCAGATTCAGCCGCTGCTGAAACTGATCAGTTTCAACAGCAGCTGAATCTGGAC